CACTAGTTTGAGCTGTTGCAAAGAAATTAGCGCCATCTGCATACCAGGTTTTAAAAGAACTCTTTTAGTGAACTTAAAACAGATCTATCCGACTATAATATTTGTGTGTGTTTTGCTAAGGAATTCCACAGCTATTAAGCAAGGTATGATAAGTTTGATGTTGCCATTAAAAAGTACAATGTTTGCACTGTTTATTACGCTAGGAGCAATATTTTATGAGTTTTTAGATTTTTAATTGAGAGGTTATAATGTCAACTTACTGTCAGTTGCTCGAATCGAACCCCCAAAGGTTGCCAAAATTGAACTGGGGTTCAATTTAGGCAACAGAGGTTCATTTTCGGAGATAATTTTTATATCTTTTATTCAGATGGCAAAAAGGGGAAATTACGGAAAATGGTCGACGGAGGATATGGAAATGGCTTTAACAGCGTACAACAGTGGTGAAAAGGGGTTAAGTCAATGTAGCCGTGATTACAATATTTCGAAATCAACCCTACTTCGACATATATACAAATAAAATAGATCCTGGCACCAGAAAGTCATACAAGCTAAAAACATTACTTTCGCAGCGTATAGTGCAATTTTCAGAGTGCATGTTTGGCTTAACAATACGCGATATTAGAAAACTTGCCTACGACTTGCCGAAAAAGAACAATATCTCGCATCAGTTCAACAGAGAGAAGAAAATAGCTGGAAAAAAATGGTATTATAAATTCATGAGAAGACACGAAAACTTGTCATTGCGTCAGCCTGAAACTACCTCGCTGAATAGAAGGGTTTAACAGAAAAAAATGTCGAAGAGTTTTTTACACTACTTGAAAATGTGTGATAGGTATAGCATCAACGCAACTACTATTTTCAACATGGTCGAGTCTGGCTTCTCAACTGTGGCCAAAGAGTGTCAGAGGGATGTCACTACAAAGGGTTGCAAAGCTGTTGGTTCTGTGGCTAGTGGAGAACGCGGTGTAAATACCACGATAGTCTGTTGTGTAAGTGCATCAGGATTCTATGTTCCACCGATGATAATTTTCAAACGAAAGAGGTACACAGCAGAACTAAGTAACGGCGCTCCACCAGGGTGTAAGGTCGAAATATCCGACTCCGGGACATCTATAGTGAACTTTTTGTCAAATGGCTGCAACATTTTATAGATGTAGTTCATCCTACAAAGGACAAAAAAGTGCTGCTTCTATTGGATGGCCATACTACTTACTCATTGCAAGAACTTAGAAGCTCTTCTTTTAGCAAGGGAAAATGGAGTGGTTTTGCTGCAGCTACCAATATTACCATGGACAATTGGTTTTCAAGTGTATCACTCGGCGAAAAATTAATTCCAGCCCCTTATAAACTGACAATGGTTGGAACCTTGAGAAAAAATAAGCCGCAAATTCCGGCTGAGCTTCTTGAATATAAAAAAGAGCGCCGAAATGTATCGTCAATATTTGCATATAGAGATAATATTACAATTGTTTCTTATAAACCTAAACAAAATAAGAATGTTTTACTTATATCTACAATGCATCCTGATGGAACTCTAAATCCAACGAACCAGAAGCCGGACATTATTGAAACATGTAATTGTACCAAAGGAGCCGTTGATAATACCTTCCTTTTTATTTAAACTAATATATTAAAACTACCGAAATACTCAGGTATACGTTAAATTTACGTATCGATACCAATAATAGTACACAACTAAACGATACCGTTTTCACCACCAGCTCATAGCGAATTAACATTATTTTTTTAAAAACATCCACAAGTTCCTTCTAGTCAAATTAATGTTCCTTTTAAAATCGAAAAGGCATTTAACCGTGAAAATCAGTCTCCTAGGCTGTGGTTGACCCACAGTTGTACAAAAACAGCATTGTTTTGTTCCGTTTGTCTAGCATTTGACGAAAGAAGACTAAGTAACTTTAATAATTCTGGTGGCATGTGCGATTGGAAGCATGTGTATCAGATAATTGGCGAACACGAGAAAAAGTTAACCCACGAGAAGTGTTGCGATGCATATTTTGTATTCAAAAAGAATAGGAGCATCAATAAATTTTCCATTGCTTGTCCTCCGACATGATTATATTGTAGTTTCTGAATCCATCGATATCCATCGATACGTGTTCAAAGCATAAACAGTTTTTTATCTCCAACTCAAGCCGGCTATCACACTTCGATGCTTACTCATTCTGTTTTTCGTATCCATCGAATATGGTTAAGAATTGTGCGGCGTGCTATGTTTGTGAAATAAAATATCGAAAAGAAGTACATCACCAACGAACGACAGGCAGAAGCGCCAGAAAATCGACAAAACATTACGAGAGTTAGAAAACTTTAAAGAAAGATATACTAATATATCGTCTAGTTCCTCTATCATCGCTTGAGCGATTAAAAGGCTGTGAGCCAACAGTAATATATTTATTGATATGGTCGTGGACCTATTTAAGGAAAATTGAAATCATGGACTTCTTATTGTTCTAGGGTCCTCATCGCCGTCGGAGGACGATAATAATTCAACCCAGTCACCAGTACACTCTTGTTTTAAAGGACATACCGACGGTTTCAGACAGTCAGGCAGAACCTACCTCCCTCCCAAGTGTATCATTTGCTGCCTTAGAAACAACGACACCAATCACTGATTTATCTGCAACCCCAGGGGTGAAGCCATCGAATTCTGAGATACAAGGTGAGGATTTACACGAGGAAATCGTATCCAGATGGGATTTTTATCTGAAGAAAGGGGTGAAGAAAGAAGAGAAGCAGAGAACATTAGAAAAATACCCGATTCCAAAGAATTGTCAAGCATTGATCCCTCCAAAAACCAACGATGAAGTCTTAGACGCTATGAATGAGTCAGTCAATAAAAAAGAGTATTTCGTAAGGTCTCTACAACACCAATTAGGATTGGGCTAACAGCTGTAGGGGCCGTTATGGACACCCTTATCAAAGAAAACCAAGCTAACAACACCAACCATTTGTCATGCTTGGCTGATGCATCTTTACTGTTTTGCAATGTGTACAATGCCCTATTAATATCCTACCGTTAAACAAAATATCCTACCGTTATTAAGGTAAAGTAATCTTTTTAATTTATATTTTTATAAAGAATAAATAGATTAAAGATGTTTTTTCATATTTGTACAATATATAATTCAATATAATGATTATAATTTTCATTTTTTTTAGATGCTATCACTGAACTGTCCGTTTTTTAATATTATCGATATGCTTGCAATAGGTTTATAAGCGCATATCAACACTTTACGAAGACAAATTTTAGCCAAAATATTTGACATTCAGCAGTCAACTTTGATTACATCAAATTCTTTTATATAGACTGCAAAATCCAAGTTGGTTGGCTAGCACAAAAATTATTGAATACATGGCCTAGCGTAGTTGAAAAATCAAAATGTCAAAAATGCGGACATGAACATATAAAAAATTTAACAGTTCTCCAAATTGAGGATCAAAAATTAAAAACGACTTTACATGAAGATCCTATAAAAAATTTGTGTTCTGTTGAAATTAGCATGTGCATTGCCTGTCAATCAAAGCAGTGTGATCTACGCAGTAGAAAAAATAGGTACAGAATTTTCGTTGTTTTCAAATATTAAATAAAAGAAGTAATTTTTTAACGTGTTTTACAGTACACTTGGCAAGAAATAGATGATTTAAAACGAAACTTCATCAAAAAATGAAAATTTTAAAGTTTTCCTCGATTACTTATGTACATTAAAAAAAAATCGAATCTTACTGTTTAAAGAAATTTAATGTAAAAGTATTTTCATAAAAATATTCTAGAATTTCCTAAAGAATTATAGTATAACAAAATTTTTCTTATAGTAAAATAAATTCCATCAGAATATTAAGTACATGAATTTGATCTAGTTAAAATAAAAAGAAAAGCACCGCTGCTAATTGAATTGGCACGAGGCTTTCTCAAATAGAATTTGTTGTTAATTAACCATTTAATAAACGATATATATTTTTACTTAAATAATTAAAGTGAGTTACATTTAAGTTCAATTCGTATAAGTTTATAGCTACCCGAGATATGGTGGTTGGCTACGCTGCTGCCTTCATATTGACTTTCAACCGTTTTAATTTTTTTGGCGAGATTTTCTATTTTCTTATCTCATGGTACCATCTGCCAGCAAAAAATTAGCGACAAATTAAGGATAATCTTGTCACTGAATCTGTACAGGGTGGTGGAAATAAACATTTTTAAATGAGCTTATTAGGGAACATTAAAGCAAATCCATCGGAATGTCCTTCAAATGAATCTGGTAGGAATACTTTTAAATATAGGTTAACTTCGAAAAATATTAAGTTTAATCGGGTTTCAAACGCTAATAGAAACATAAAACATAAATATTTGATAAAGCATTGCTGAAGTTATTTTTATTGGCAAACTTATTAATCAACTAATCTAGCAGCTCTTAATATAACTTACTATAACCTTAAAAATAACATTTCAAAGAAATAAATAAATGCATTCTATCTATCAGATGTAAAATATTATATAGATTTGTTTTACTTGTAGCTATCGAAAATTCCCACCATTCCAGTTGCTCTTCATCAAGTGGTTCTTCTTGTTCATCATGCAATTCTTTCAGTAGCAGCAAGTCGTCTGAAAACTGTGAAGATTTGATCAACGATCAATCTTATAAACCCAAAAGTGATGACCAATCTGAAGATGACAGCAATGCAGATAATACCGATGGAAACACGAACACTGTTCTTTGAAATATTAAAGCTGCTAATTCATCCACTAGATGTAGAGCCAAATGTTTCACTGTTTTGGCTGACGAAACTGCTGATGTATCAGGAGTGGAACAAATGTCTCTCTCTGTGCAAGGTATGTCAACATAGATAAACTTGTCTTACGAGAGGATTTCCTTTGGTTCGTGCCGGACTTTGACTTAACAGGTGAAGGACTAGCCAAGAGTATTCTGGCTAACTTGGAAAATTTCGGTATTGACGTGACATACTTACGTGGACAGGGCTATGATGGGGTGGCAGCTATGTCAGAAAATATTAGTGGTGTACAGATCGATAGTGTTGCTGATCCAAACTATGTACCAAGTGATGAAGATATAAGTGATATTGTAGATCCGAGTGTAGATCAAGATTTAGATAACATTGAAAATATGTCATCCAAAGTGTGTTCCAATGAACTTGATGAAAACATTGACCGAGAAAATCAAAGTCAACCTGTCCTGCAGCACTCGGCACAGAAATTGACGGCTAAAAATTAAAAAGAGAGAAGTGGCGTGGAAACATTGAGGTATTCATCTGAATGATCTCCAATTAGCATTTCATGGAAGAGTTGTGGAAGAGAGTAATTTATACGCTACTCAACTAAATCCAAATAATTCTACATATTTTACTGCAACAATATAAAGCAGTTTATGGGTATTTGTTTTTATACATCGATAGATCATTTGCCTAGTATTAGATCTTATTGGAGCACAGACATAGGCTATGACCTTGATAGAAATGTAATGCCTCTAAATAAATTTGAAAGGATTAGACGTTACATTCATTTCAATGATAACTCTAAACATGTGCTACGTGACAGTCCAGGTCATGACAGACTGCATAAGCTTCGACCATCATCGATGGTCGATGATCGTTGATCATCTAAATGAGTTTACCAGTATTTCACTGGAACCTACTCTTTCAGTGGATGAACAAATGTGTGCCACAAAAGTGAGACATTATAATGAAGCAATATAATATACCCATGAAACCCCATAAATGGGGTTTCAAATTGCTTGTACTTGCCGGTGTTTCTAGATTTGCATATCGTTTTTAAATCTATTCAGGACAAGAAAATTGACAAAATAGACCAAGTGATGAAACAGACATTGGTGCATCTGCAAATAGTGTTGGATATATGGACAAATTAATAAATGAGTGACTTCCCTTTCCACATATGCTGGGAAAGATCCTGTAACTAGCGTTAAACGCTTTGACAAGAAAGGAGGAAATGTGATTGTTTGCTGCCCCTATGTCATCCAAGAGCATAATCGGCATATGGGTCAATGGATCAATTAAGCTAAGGAAAGAAAATATAATGATTTAATTTTATTATGCTCAGGAACTGCACCGGTTGTTCGATTAGAACATAAACAATATTTCAGACCCCTTCCCCACGTTGACTGATTAATTATTATATTTTGATTATTATTTGACCTGAAATACTCTAATATTTTTATATCTTAAAGTTTTGTTAATTAAAAAAATATTTTTACTTTCATTTTGTATTGTTACTCTGTTGTGTAGGTTATGTTTCCTCTGTTTGGTACAAGCCAATTGTTTGTATGAGAAAGAATGTTTTTGTTTTATAAAATTAAAAATAATTATCTTAATGCTTTTTTGCAAATAAATAATATTCATACAAAATATTGTTTTATTTTATTTTATGTTCATAGGCGTATCTAAGGGTTTAGTCGGCTATATATTTTCACATAATGATGTCAATAATGTTTTTTTGGCCTTTAGAAATACCCAAGCAAACTTTATATCAGAATAACTAACTCTTCCATGAAAAAAATAAAAATAAATTGAACATTTATATCGTGTTTTTAAACAATGAAGATTTTTTAGTTATGGCGTCGTATTTAATGCGCGATATCAAAAAATGATTAAAGCAGTTATATTACTGCATGTAAATTTTAGATTTTTTTTGATTATTAGAACAAAAAGTTGTGACAAAGGATTAAAATAAGTTTAGATCAGTACCTGGACTAGACGACTAACTTATCGTTACCAAAACAGCAACCCCCTTCGAGATCTGCGACTGCAACAGAAACATCACATCCAAGGACTCCTTTAATACTTCAAGTGCCACCCATAACCTCCTAACTCCAGCAAATGGAGTTTAACCGCCATTTCTTCCATAACCTCACTAGATGAGGGTTTCAACAAAAGTTCTTTATACACTTATTCAAGTCCCAGTGTCACCTAGGGAGAAAAGAGTCTTAAATGGCTAGTCGAATAACAACATATAAATGAAGCACCTGTAGATCTTAAATAGTTATTCAAAAAAGTAATACCTAGACTCGAACAGGAAATACACGAGAACGCCATAGGTTCTACACCACCACAAGATCAGCCTAAATAAGGGATGACGATGGAAATGCTCCCTTGTCACAGGAATGTTACACAAAAAACAATTTCCCGTCTCCATCCAAACTAAACTTAAAAAATCTTCACTGTATATTCACTTTCACTGATCACTGATTTGATTTTCTTAGAAACAAAGCAATGCTACCAACTTCTAAATTCATCACACTAGATCAGTACCAACTTACGGTTGTTGTAGTACATTTTCTACATTTATTACATGAGGAGCAGACTTTCAAAAGGAGTTTTGTCCAATTTTTAAATGTATGTATATGTATCTTTCTTATTTTAAGAATTACAGAAATGGGCGAAAATTTTATGGCGATCACGGATTCATTTTTAAATTTAGATAATTCCGAATAGATCCGAATATATTCGAAGAAAACCACAAATGCAGCCTTTAGAAGCGTTACTTTACTTTCTGTTGGAATGTTTATACAACTCATGCACAGTGTGACTATAAGTTTTCTAACAACTAGAGCTGAAATTCACCCATAAATGTGAGAACTAAGTGTAATTACACAATTGATTTTGTTAAAACAACTCATATAATGAGAACTAAGTGTAATTACACAGTTGATTTTGTTAAATCAAGCAGGTTGCAAAAACCTTATTTAGTGATGGAATACGACTTTTTAATTCTTTACCTAATCACGTGAAAGAAGTGGTTAGTGTGGGAAAATTTATTAGAGAAGTTACAAAATTGTATGTCGATAAATTGTAGTTCAGTTCATATCAATTTTGGTTATTATCATTCTTGTTAATGATGTCAGCTATGTCAATTTGTGTTTTATATAAAATTGGATAAATATATGCATGTTAATAGCTAAAAATCTAATAATAAATTATTATTATTATTAATAAGGATATTTTCACTACATTTATTTTCTTGGTAGCTCAGTAACTTACCGACCACTGAATCTCGAAGGCAACAACGTTTCCGAAGGTGAAGCATCAACATCAACTTCAGAAAACCACTTAGAAGAGACAGCCAATCCAAACTCTGACAAAACTTTTGTCAGCCCTTAAGTTCTTAGACCATTTCCTAAAGTAGGCCCACGAAAGCAACTTACCACAAGGTGAGAACGCAGTTTTTCCAAAATTCTTACCGACATGCCTGAGAAAGAAGAGATAGACGCTGCACTAAACGCTCGAAAGAAAAAGGAAGTTGTTTCATTGAAAAACGATGGCCTACTATCACAAAAAGTCTCCTTAGTCTCATCCACCTACATCTTCTTCAAGTAGATAGTGATGAATATGAACGTTCCATATCAGTCGGAAGCAGCGAAGATGTCTCGGATACTGATAGCGATGAAAGGGAACAACTTCAAATCAAAGTGCATGAGGTTGTAAAGACAATCCAAGCCGGCGATTTTTTAGTTTTAGTGACATTTCCTACTAAGACTTCAATTTTGCATTATGTGGGTTGTATAATCACAAAGCTGGAAAACGAGTGCGAAATAATTTTTTTACGTCGTCAAGGAAAAACGTGGACAGTTCACGACAATTATTTTGAATGGACATTATTTTGAAATTACTGTTTCCCGGAAATATAGGAGGAACTGAAAGTAATAAACCATAATTTACTAGGAATTTAATTTTGCATGATATTTTCGACCTGGTGGATGCTCTAGAAGACGAAAGACAAATGTTTAACTTGGAGGAAATTGATGAAAAAACAGCAGAACTTAATTTTAGATATAAATGGAATGATATTCCACGTTCGGTTGAAGCTTTGAGTATACCAAATATGTTTAGGACTCAATCAGGGTATCTAGTAAGTGGTAAAAATAATCATTCTTTACCTTTAGAACAATTCAAATGTTGTAAGGATGTTGTATTTTACTGCGACGTTTAGCTTATCCTAACAGATTACCGTCATCTGGGGTGAAGTCGTATAGTTGGGGCGAATGCGGACAAACGCCCGTGTACGTATATATTTTTCAAGAACAAGCCACTGGTTTGCAAAAAAGGTGTTAAAATCGGTTCTATGGCGTCAGTAGAGAATAGGATGTAAGACTGGACGGTTATTGGTTCGATTTTATTTATGACAGAAGCGTACAGGTAAGGTTTTATATGAACTCGTTTTTTACAATTTTTTTAAATCTTGGAAACAAACTGTTGCCCACAAGTATTGCCTATATATGCAAAAAATGCTTTTGCACTAAAGTCTTAAATAATGTATGGATAACAAGTGGCCGCAAAATTATACCCATACTTTTTTTAGTTTACTTTTAAATAATTAATTTATAAAAATAAAGTTGGTTTGAATTTTATAAACTATGATGAAAAAAGGTAGCAGAGGGCATTAGAAAATATAAAAAGGGGCTACAAAAGTATTCGACAGGCGTCAGTTCCCTATTTTAGAAAAATATAAAAAAATTCGAATTGAATAAATCACCCAAAAAATAATTTCATAAGATTTTGTTTTTGTTTTTTCTGTAAAAGGTATATTTTGTTTCATAACCTTGAATAAAGCGTTTTATATTATTAATATTATTTAATGCCATTTCCTTTAATAAAACATTTTTTTACACATTTTTTGTCCGCCTTCGCCTCTTACTATGCCAAAAGATGAGTTTTCAATTAAAATAAATGGGTGTCCATGTTTGCCCCACACATAGGGGCGAAGGCGGACAAGCTTTAATAGATAAAAAAATAGTTTTATATATTTTATTTATCGCATAATATTCTAGACACATGGGGCTATCTATATTATTTTTTTGTACAAAAAGGGTATCAGTTATCAGTAAAAGAAAAACAAAAATCGTCCGTTTTCACCCCATATGGCGGTATGTGATTTAGAATACATTTTTCAACGGTCCATTGCAGCTCTATCAGAAATTTGCACTTTTGTAAATATGCGCATTAATAACAATTTCCATTATCTTTTGCAAGATCTTGCTAATTTGAACTGGCTAAATCGAGATCGTCTTCAACAATATTCTGAAGTAACTTTTCCGAATCTGAACATTTTAAATACCTATATGTAAAATAATACATGTATCTTTTTTTGAGTGCAACTGCCAAAAATGCAGCTGTACAAAACTACTGGGGATTTATAGATGGCACTGCACGAGCAATATGCTTTGGACAGGAATTAATATACCATACAGCCTGAGTTAGGCAACCCACCTTACCGGAAACTTTTTACCCGCGTTCGTTCTTGCCACACCTTTAGACTAAAAAGTACTTTTTTGTCTCTGTGCTTGGGCCATTTCAATTCTAGCCATACTGAGAAGAGCAACCCTTGAGTTTTTTTGAACGGCTATTAATATAAAATGTGTGACTGGCCAATTTCTTTGCCTTGGTGCTAGGTAAGACTAGTGTGTTTCTTATATCATATCTAATAACCTAATAGATTGTACTAGTTTTCGAGTGTGGCGAATTGGAAACCTCCAAAGTGCTCGCCTCCGAGTTAGCATTAATAAATCATCCAAACCCAGCGTGTCGTTTTGTTTGTATCCAAGAGAACCAGCCCTGCTTCTCTCGGCTCAGCCGTCCTTCTGATAACCAAGAAGACTATTATTCCAGACTCAAGCATTTTGGAACTACTTTTGTCTTATTTGGAGACCAAGCGTATGGTATGAGGGAATTATTGTTATGTCCATTTGGTGAGCAGGGAATTAATGAAGCACAACAGAATGGAGCTTCCAAAAAATTATGTTATTTTCTGGACTTCAAAAAAATTATAAAAAAATTTTACTACAAGATGTTCAAGAAATGTATAAAACTACAACCATACTAACAGATTGTCATACCTGTTTGTATGGGAGTCAAACATCCGGGGGAAAAATTATTCTGAGCATTATTTTATTATTATTAATAGGTACACAAAAAATTACTCAATATTATAGTGAACCACAGCCATTCTCATCTAAATCTCAACCTCAACACAAGGAACAGCGAGTTTATTCTCAAAAATTTAAACACGAATGGATGGAAAATGGTCAGTTTATAGAATGGCTTCAACCACATTTAAACAATAAATTTTTATGAAAATGTACTGTGGAGCAGAACTAAAAAGTGGAAAATCTGAGCTAGAGAAATGTACAGCTACCAGTAAACATCTGAATGTTTTAAAAACTCGAGGTTTAAAATCTGTTGAATAATTTTTTCAAAAAGAGACTCGGCATTCCCGTAAAGTATGTGAAGCAGAAATAAAACTTGTCAACTTCTTTGCCCATCATAATATTGCAGTTTAAACAATTGATCATCTTGTTCTGCTTTTAAAAAACTATTTTCCTGATTCCACAGTAGCTAAAGACATTAAATTAAATTGCAGTAAAGCTACTGCATTGTTAAAAATGCCATTGCGAAAATGAAACTAACAATATAGCAGAGCTATTGAAAAAAAAACATTTCAGTGTTTTAATTGATAAGAACACTGATATATCCAACATAAACTTCTTGGCACAAATGTAAAATTTTTTAAACGAACATGATGTATTGCAACTGTAGATGCAAAAAAATGCTGATTCTGAACATTTATTTAACACATTTAAAAGTTCTCTAGAATTTAAAAAATCCTTTGAAAAATGTTATAGGATTTGCATCCGATAATGCAAGTGTTATGATTGGTAAACACAATTCGTTTCTAACTCGTTTGCAAATAGAAACAGAAGATTTAGTTGTATTACCATGTCTATGCAACTTTTCTGCTTTAGTGGCAAATAAAGCATGCGCAAAACTTCCAAGGACACCAGAAGAGTTTATACGTATTGCTTCATATTTTTCTATCAGCAAAAAGGACAGCGGAATTAATAGAAATGCAAGATTTCTTTCTTCATCTTCTTCAACTAGATGGCTATTACTGTGTTCCTTTCACCAATTTGGGCTGCTAATAGCAGCTCGCGGTAACATGAAGAAAGGAACACTTGCCTTTCTTAAAGACTTCGAACGTTCGTGCTGCTCATAAGCGCATCCCCCCTCACCCCTGGTGCACAACACAAATGTTTGAGCTTGAAGGTTATG